GCATCAAGCGTAAAAAAGCAAGTTAGACCTAGTCAAGAAGGAAGCAAGTGTAAAAGTTTTTACAAGTAATTGTCCATACTTCTAGGCGGCCCCGCCGGGGTTTTAGAAGAAGTGGCCGGCTGCTTCTCAGCCGCCACTGTTTTCCTGGAAGACCCAGGAGAGCTTGCAACAGTCGTCCTCCGGGCCTTGGGGTCTGGCTGTTGCGACGAAGAAGCTCTTGGAGTGCCCGACTGAAAATAAAAAAATAAAAAAAAAATAAAGAGTTAGTATATGCATAAGACAACTCCTAAAAGAGGAAGAGTTTCGAAGCCTACCAAGGGTGCCCCCTTGTTGGGGGAGTCGGTACAAGACTGTTGCATGAGAGAGGCCCGCAACATGGCCGCCGCAGTCTTGGATGCTGTTATTTTACTCATGGCGTCAGCTGCAAAAAAAAATAAACAGCAAAGTTAGTAAAGATCCAAGTAAACAAGGCGTGAAAAAACAGAGTATTTGTCAGGCCGGCTACCTCTAGAGCACCGACTGCTGAGGCCACAGGCGGCCAAAAGTACTCCTCATAGAGCCACTTGAAGCTCGGGACGCAGTTTAGGGGTACTTGCTCTCGTACCCCTGAAGTAGAGTTCACCCTAGTCTCTACTTTGAAGAGTCCTTTGTCTAGGATCTCTTTTTTAGCCTTTGGGGGAACAGGTGGCATGCTGCGGCCGCCTGCGAGAAGAGGCGGATCCCTATTCCACTTGTTAAAGCGTTGGTTCAGCTCCGTGTCTGAACCCTCGATGATAAGGAAGGTGTTCCGCCAATCCTTCCATTTGTTCGCCTTACCTCTCGTCATGAGGTAACCCTATGGCTTGTTAATTGATACCAGCCGGTACCTCCCGACTTAGGGGTCCGGCTGAGATAGTTCATGTGGGCGAAAGCCTCAAAGCTTGGCTCCACCCCGTTCATTTCGCACCCGGCCACATAGCCGAGTACGTTTACCCAAGAGTTGGGGGCTAACTGCCATAACCCCAAATCATACCCATCTAAAATCCGCTGAACAGCCGGATGTAATGGGAAGCGCAGTCCAGCTTTGATGGCCGCCACATAGCAGCCAAAGCAGCCGTCATCATAGCTGGTACCAGCCGGCCAGACGACAGTGTCTTCTGGATCTGGCACGAACAGTAAAAATTCGGGGCCCATTCTGTGGTTAGCTATAAAGCTCTCCACTTTGTCTTGCATGGTTGCGATCCGGCCCCGGGGTACCGTGCAGTAGTAAGGGGTGTTTTCCTCTCTGTAAGAGGCGAACGGCTCCGCCCAATTGTCCCCCTTCTCAACTGCATGAGAAAGCCTCGCCTCTTGTAGGCGGCTGTTTCTTTCTTCTGAGCCTGGAGAAGCGTGGCCAGAAGAGCTGGACTCGGACTCGTCCTCTGACGATTCCGAAGAGGACGACTCCTCCCCTCTCCCAGAGGGGCCCGCCTCCTCTCCCTTAGAAGGAGCAGGAGGAAAATTAGACATATCAACGGTGAAATGGGAAGGGACCACCTTGACCCCTCCCTCAGAACTGTCGCCTTGGCAGCCGCCTCGTTTCACTTCTACATCTGGCGCCTGGTCAGATGTTTCACTAATGAGCACTCTTTGGGAGGAGCCGTCCGAGTTTGAGATCATAGCAGTCTTTTTTGTTCTGGCCATCACGTTCTGCATAGACACAGATACAGTCGGACTTTGTATAAAGGGCAAAGATGGGTCCAGAAAAGGGCAGGCGGCACTCCTAGTCCTAGATTCAGCCGTCCCCGGTGACCGGCTGATCACTAACTTAGGTCGTGTCGTGTGCTTCCGTGGTGCCATTTCAAAAAATAAAAAGAAAATTAAGAGTAAGAGAACTGAGTTACCTGAACGAGTGACGGTTGATGAAGTTCTGGAAATCCGGTGCAGTCGGCTTGTCAGAACAGGCGGTAGGCAGAAAAGGTCCGAAATGTCAGAGCAAGTTCAGGGGTCCGAATGTTCTCGCAAAGTTCTCAAATGTGAAAATGACCGAAGTCAGCACTTCCTTATATAGGCAAAGTGAGAAGGCGAAGGGTCGCTTCCAAATTCAAAATTTGGGCGGGAAAATCTCTCGGCCATTTGCAAGGTGACACCTGTAGCAGGCCGTCGCCTGTCACCGTGCGGCACCTGTCACAGGTGACACGTGACCAGTCACGTGCCACCTGTGAGGGGCAAATGATTAGGGGATTTTTATCCACCAATCACCGTCTGACAAGTGGACCAACCAGGTTCCGCCACGTGTCCTTCACGTAGGCCAATAGGAGCCTGCCACGTGTCAATCACAGATACGTCCTCTACGGACCAATTGAGACACGCCACGTGTCCACCCATGCCAAATGGGAAAACCGGCCAACAAGGCCCAATCCTGTTTAGAGGCCCGGTCAGCCCTAGGTTTACCCTAAACCTAGAGAGTGGCACGCTTCTCAAGACTATAAATACTTAATTAATCCTCATTAAAGGGGATCAAGCAATTAATCTCACCTGAAGAACAGAACAGAAACATTACGGAACACACTAATTACCGGCTGATCTCGCTAACAAAGCCGATTAACCAACATTAAACACTCTCACCTAGAGAGACCTTATTACTTTAATTTCCGCATTAATTACTCCTTAATCAGGTACTAACTTGACCGTTGGAGGCGGAGCTCTCAGGAGTCTCCGTTATTTTGCAGGTACAGGCGTCCGGTTCCAGTCTCGGAATTGTAACTCTCCCGCAGGACATCAGAAAACCCCGAAACAGGACCCACCATTATTTTATAGTTTCTCCCTCCTACTAACCCCACTTTCATAAATATTTTATTATTTCTCTTTCCTTACCAACCCCACTTACACTAGTTTTTTTTTATTATTTATCTCGCCTATTAACAATACTTTATATTATAAAAACCTTATTTTATGCTTTACCTTAAAAAATTTCTTAAAATTTGTTAAAACCCTAGTGTTGCGATTAATATGAAAAGAAGGAAGTATGATTTTCAATGGCGCAGAGTTAACTCTAGTCTACACTATATACTAAAGTAATCCCCATAATTATCCCTTAATTACAAGCGTCATCTCCTCATAAAAAAATTTTCCCGCCAAAATTTTTTGTTACTATTCTATTTTGTTTTGGTTTTTTATTTTGTTATTGGAAGAAGTCAGTTACTATATCTCATGGAGAAGTTTTGGCCTTATACTGCCCAACACCAATAACTTAAATAAAATTAAAAAATATAGTGGATAAAGAATAAAAAATGTTACAAAATATTATAAAATACTACTTAGGATATTATTATTATTATGTTATTATTGTTCTATTTTTTTTGTTATCAACAATAATATCATAAAAAGACATTTTAATTAAGAACATGAGTATGCTTTCATATTATTTATACTATAATATTATTACTCATTCTATTTCACATTAATTGTACTGTAAAATTAGACATTGATCGAGATTAATCTTATAGTATATCACAATGTATATTGTACTTTTCTTTTTTAAATGTCTTTTTTTTACTTATAATAATTTCTTTTTGTACAATTTCTAATAAACTAATAATGAAATACTATTGTAAAACTGTGAACATCACGGGTTTTGAACTAGTAAACAATACTAAATTAGTGCCCGTTCGATGCACAGTAGTAATAATTATTTTTTTTCCATAATTAATTTGTCATATAATATAAAAATGAGGTAAATCATGTGAAATAAACAAATGCAATGCATATAGGAAAGATGAAATAATAAAGCAAAAATTATTAAAATTATGATTTAGAAAAAAAAAATTATTTTTGATTAGTTGTGTTGAAAATATTAAAAATAGAATGCATTATATTACATTAATGGTGCACGCAATGTTATTCCCAATAAAGCTATAGAATGTATAATGTTGTATGACGTTTTATTAATGAATTAATTTAGTTAAAAAAAATATATAATGTACTTCCAAAAAATAAGCTAAGTAGAATAATTAAAGAAAAAACTTATAGCTGACATCATATATTGTATCGGTGGGAAAAAAAAATCAACACCATGAAGAGGGATTTTTTTTTTGTTTTCATCGAACCCCAATCTTGTATTTTTGGCTCTGTTATTTTATACTCTCCACCATATTTTTGAAATTTTTTATATACACCCAGGTACACCGTACACCCAACTAACCCAAAGTTAGTTTTTGTTCTTCATTTGATGATTAAATGAAAAACAATCATCAGTTAATAGTTTATTCTCCCTTGATTAAAAGGTTTCAAAATTTTGTGTAACTATTTTAATTAAATAGAACATGAAATAAAAATGAATACAATTATTATAAAGATAATATATATAAGATAATGAATAATATATTATTATAGTTGTATTATAAAAATATTTTTAAAATAAAATATTTTTGTTAAAAAAAGAGAGGGGGTTTTGGAGGGAAAAAACTGCATCAGGAAGTGACACATGTCATTGTTGGTGTTTGTTTTAGGAGGAAATACTAATGTGGTATTGTTATGCATTTGCAAATGCATAACAAATACTAAATATTAAAAATCACATGGAAAATTGAGAAAGGAGGAGAGAGAAAGGTGAGTGGAACCACTTTTAATTGTAAGCTTATATAATAACATTGGTTATTTAGTAATACTATATTTGCACGTAGTTAGTACCACTGAATGCATATATAGTACCACTACATACATATTACCACTGAATATTCAATGATATTATTTGATCACCCAATGGTACTATTGATCACTCAATGGTACTAGTCTAATAAAATATACATTACGTGTAATTACTGCCTTATCGCTCGTTATACAATTATTTATGTATAACAATACTCTCTTTAAACTCCCTCTCTGTTTTAATATTATGTTATTGATCGGGGTGTTTTATCTTTAAAAAGACGACACGTGTCTACAAGTAACCCAACGTGTTTGACAAGACAAAGAATGAAGAGAAACACACAAATGTTAGTTGAATGGTTGACAATCCCTTATTTTTGTGAGGAGAGAGAAAGATACTGCCCCACTTCTTTCCACCCACACATTATTTTAGCGGGTCCTTTTTCTTCATTTTTCAGTGGGGATCAGCATAACTGCGCAAGTGCACAACACAAACCCAGATCACCTGCTCAGCTGAGTAAACATAAACCCCCTCACTCTTACTACGGAGTATTATTTTTAGACGACTGCTACCACAGCTAACAGTTTTTACGGGACCCCTTCGTGTTCGTACTATTATCGTCAAAAATTTTATTTAAATTGAACTGAACTAAGTTGAGATGAACGTGGGCGGACAGCCAAATACGGCAAATGGAGCGTCGTCTTCAGCGGGTGAAGGGCCGTCGTCGTCAGGAAAAAAGGTGAGGAAGCCATACACAATTACCAAGTCTCGTGAGAGTTGGACTGAAGAAGAACACGACAAGTTCCTTGAAGCTCTTCAACTGTATGTAAACTTATTTTTTTTGTTTTCATACTCCATATTTTGGTTATATTTTTTGATATTTTTAATTTGTTACAAATTTGGAATGTTTTAGGTTTGATCGTGATTGGAAAAAAATCGAAGATTTTGTCGGTTCAAAAACTGTGATTCAGGTTACTCTTCTTAAATTAATAGAGTTTTGGCTTTAGTTTTGGTTAAAAGTGCGATGCTCCAGTAATTCATTAATCCATTGCATAATTTTAGTGATAATGTATTGACTCCGACGCTCAAAGTTGAAACGAGCATATTTTTTGGGCGTGTTAAATTATGTTTTATTCAATTAGCTAGTCAATTTTTGTGCATTACTAGTTTTATGATCGAATTTGTCTAATTTCTTTTGTAACGAGGGACATTGATTTAGTTTATGCATCATGTATACAGAATACTGCAGTATAATGCTCCAAATCTGAAATATAAAAAACATATGAGACTATGAGAGTGTAGGAAGATACTCCAAAGTCTTAACAAATTTTGTAGAGTGGTAAGTTACCCGCTGGGTTATCTGAAAGCAATTTAGGGGCCTTGTGCTATTTTTAAATCAGGCCCCAATTATTTTGAAATGTGTAATTTTAAATATGAAATTAAGCTTTATAGTCTTAAAGTCATTGCTACTACCTTTCTTTTTTTACATGATAAAACACATAAAACTTATGTTCGTATTATTGAGTTTATGAAATTGATACTAGCATTGTATTTTCAAGTTTTAAAGTTTGTTATTTTGTTTATTATATAAAAAAATTAGCAAAATTTGCCTCTTAGTAAACTAATTACTGAACAAAAAAAAAATTTAAAAATGCAGAAATTTAGTAGCCATGGGGGCTTGAACGATGGAACAACAATTCAAGATTAAATGACTTAAGTTTTTGGCTGCTACTAACTTAGCAAATTTCATTTACATAACATTTTAGACATTAATTTTATTTATATCATTATCGAGCCTTTTTCAATTGGAGGCCCTTTGCATTTCAGCTCCCTCTGCTGTGGGTCGCTTTGCACAGGCCCATAGTTGGCCCTGGTTACTCGAGAATTTGTCTTTATAGGCAAAAGGTTGAGTTTAGAAGAAAACATGGTATTACAGTTTATCCTCAAACAAAGTGGCCAAAAGGATGTAGAAAAGTCTGAAGTAAAGCCTTTTTTACTTCAAAACCAAAATGCTTCATTCATCCATTTGTTTATCCGCCCCGTTACATCCTATAAACATCATACTATGTCTGTTTCTTTTTGGTTGCCCCATATAGTAAAGTTCATAATTTTAAGGAAGTAAAATTTTGTCTATGAGGTTGCAACTGTAGCTGGTGAGGAGAGAGAGAGTAAGTGGGTTTAGGTTAATGGAGATATATCAGATGGACACCCCAAAGAGGAATATGGAGCAAATAAAAAGGGATGAAGTCTTAAATAAGATCTCAAGAATGGATAATTACGAGTTAACATATGGCCTTTGTTGCATGGTATTAGTCAAGTCTTATTACCTCAGTGGAAGCCTCTTGGGTATGGCTTAAGCTTTGCCTTTTATTGGGTTCTGTACAAGGAGATGCTCCAACTTCATACCTCTGTTTTTTATTTGCTTTAAGCCTGTTGGAAACGAGTCGCAATGACATATTTCTTCTCACGTACCAGACTTGATGCCATCAGCTTGTCATGCTTATTGAGTGGGAATGTGGCATGCTTCATTTCTAGTTTCCGTTTGAACCCTTTGCATACTTTAAACATTGCTGTAAAGTTCCTGCTTTAGGAGTGAAAACACCCAGGGTGAAGAAACAAAGGGGGCTTACAGGAGTGGCAATTTCTTCCTTTGCTCAAGAATTTATGACCTTCCACCAAATGGAGAGGTGTTTTACTTTTATTCCTCTTATTGATGATACAATCTTATGTTGATCGTGACTTGAAAGTTTCTTCTAGACTTCCAGGTCTTACTCAGTAGTTCACTCTGGTTCTGAACTTTTGTGCTAGAAGAATAAGGGAGTTAAATTTAGGCCTTGGTGGTACAGGTAGCAATAGTAGTTTTCATGACAATGATATTGTAGCCTTTCCTTTCGCAAAATGGTAAGTCTATAAACTCTAGATGTTGAATCTGCTACACTTTGGGAAAGCTATTCTGAAGATGGATTTAATTAAACAAACTGCCTTGAAGTTTGAATCAATAAGAGCAAACCAATAGCGCTTGTGTGTGTGTGTGTAGTTTTCCTTGCATTTTGACTTGTATTTTCTACAAATGAAGTGCTACCTCTTGAGATTCTAATTACTGATAGATGTGATTTGATAGGAAATCTCTAAGCAAATTCTGTGAAAAGACATTTAAAGAGTCTGCATGACATACTGTATACTTTATGTCAATAAAAGATAAATTTTTTACTGTCATGTTACACTTCTCATAGTTGAAATTTATGTTACACTTCTCATAGTTGAAAATTCTTTTTGAGAATTTTGGAGCTTTTCTTTTGCAGAGTTTGTTGGTACTGCTGAGTTAGTGATTGAGGAAATTCTATGTATTTACAGTTAGAGAAGATTTTCCTTTTTTAATCGAAACACTTGATGACAAAATATTATTACAGATTTACTTTAGAACACTTTGTAACAATTGTCAATATATTTAAGACTCTGGTGGACTTACCTTGATGGAGAGACTTTAAAAGTCTTCTTTTAGAATAAATTAGTTTGCACTTGTAACCTCACCCACCAGAAGTTATTTACTGAATAACTCATGCTAATCGTTTAGAAAACTGATTAAATTCTTGGATGTCCAACATCAGGTTCCCTTTTGAATTCAGATGCTTTATTGGTGTAGATTGTTGCAAAATTAAACATACACTTTTTCAGAGAACAACATCTTACAATTTTATCTTCTGTAGATTCGCAGCCATGCTCAGAAATATTTTTTGAAAGTTCAAAAGAATGGTACAGCAGCTCATGTGCCACCTCCACGCCCTAAACGGAAAGCAGCTCATCCTTACCCCCAAAAAGCACCAAAAAATGGTTTGTTCAAGTGACAGAAACTGATAAATATAAGATATGATTGGTATTAACTTTTGGGTACTGATTTAGCAGTTTTTTGGACAATTGACAGTGTCTGTGCTTCCACAAGCAGCAATTGCTTATTCTGCTTCCTTCAATGCTATTGCACCTGGGTATCCTGCATGGAGTGATGGCTCCGTTCTAACAAACCCTGCAACAAGTGGAATTATGCCATCTGATGACTATAATCTTAATATTGCAGAAGGTATATATTATATAACTCTTGTGTCATTCAAATGGCAAATTACATCCCACTCTTGTAGGATAGATGTGGGATAACTTATCTACAATATATGTATAGGATTGGGATCCTGTGAAAAGTTTCTTGAAATGAGAAGGATGAGAAGATTTGATGTGCAACTTTTTTTTAACGTAATATGTACTTCGTATATTTTTTTTCAACTGAATGTGCAAATTATGATTTTCGAGCTGATTTTTTTTTTTTCAATTTTTTTTAAAGTAAAAAATAACACATTATGTTTATTATATATGCACATCACATTTCATTCAAAAAGTTTAGTTGCACATCTAATTAAAAAATTAATTATTTAAAATCATTCTCATTTTAAGCATCTTTATTTATTCTTTAAAAGATTGTATTCAATATTCTATGCTTCTGATGTGTTTTATCATTGATTCAGCAGATGTTGGAAGAAAAGGATTTCCTAGAATTAGTGGAAGTTCTGCAAGTGGAATTGGGAGCTCAAACAGATCTGTATCAAATTCTGAGTTACCAACGCAAGGAAAAAGCCCCATACTTCATGGTAAGTTACTGTAAATATTGCATATTGTTTCCATGATCTTGGTCAATTCCTTTATAAATAGTCTCAATATACTAATCAAGCAAAAACTTATTTGAATCGAAATGTACAACGCTCAGATTTTGTTCAGAAAGCAACAGGTTTGGAGCTTCAATCTTTGTAACTCACATGTGCACTATTTTCTCTCAATAGTCATCTTTTATCTTAACAAAAAAGACGACAAACCCCACCTTGCTACCTACATTCTCTCTTTACGGTGAATTCCTTCATATATTTGTTGGGCCGGGGTCACCCATCTTGATGGGCCGCACACACAATCACTCCACATTAGTATGATATTGTCCGCTATGGGTCTAGCCTGCACGAATTTGTTTTCGGGTGCCTTCCGGAAAGGCCTCATACTAATTGAAGCGTTCTCTAACTTATGAGGAAGTCTTTTCTACCTTATTCTTTCCATGTGGGACTTGGATTGCCTACCCCAACAATATTAAATGTATATTGCTATTCAAGCTATCTTCTTTTGGAGAATCTTTTTTTCCAAAAATGATTGTTTTTTTCTTCCTGCATGCTTAGAAAAAACCGATTTTCGTGGGTTGATTTCTTGTTACCCACCGCATGGTTGTTAAAAAATTCCTGACCAAAATTTTTATTAGGGTTCTTAGTTTCTTACAATCCTCTCCCCCCATCACCATATGCTTTAGCTGGAACATCAATTCATTATTGGTATTTAGGCAATAATGATAATTGAACATTGGTCAAGTTGGCTTGGCTTATTATTACACTGCAATTCTCTCTATATCTTGTATGGGCTACTTATACTCTTATATCTGTTCAAAGTTCCATTAACTAAAGTAGCTATCAATTGCCTCACACTTTTTACACTAAAAAATAAATTTTCATAACTCTTCTCTTTAAGATATCTTTTATTTGTCATAAGCTTTAAGTAAGATATTGAATCATAGAAGCTGTGACCTTTCTTGCTATTATGGCAACCTTTCTTGCTATTATGGCGATTATGCCTTTTGCATTAATTTGTTCTTAGTAATGTTTGCATTTCTTGAGTGCTTCTTAACTCAAATTTGGTTTTATTCTTTATACATTTTACTAGATATATTCTTTGGTTCTCTCATGGTGCGAAAGAAAGAGAATTAACTTCAATAGAAGTTCTACTATAGATATGAAGTGACTTTATTAAAATTCCATTGCTTACTGCTTGCCATAATTTTTTTTCTAGACTAGATTTAGCTACGCATTTTTTATATTAGATGATGTTTGGTTAATATTACTTTATTAAGACTTTTCTTGTTTAATCAAGACTCTTGTTGAATGTCATTACAGGTTTACCAGATTTCGCAGAGGTTTATAGTTTCATAGGAAGTGTCTTTGACCCAGAAACCAAGGGTCATATGGGAAAGCTCAAAGAAATGGATCCAATCAATTTTGAAACAGTAAGTTTTACCCAATTACTGTTTTATGCTCTTTGAAACTTAAAAAGTTCCAATAGTATGACAGACTCAGAAGTAGAAAGCTAAATTCTTAACAGAAATTTTACCTACTCTATTGGAAATCTAACTGTTCTAGGTGAGCCACAACAAAAGTTCATGTTGATCAATAACCTTCAAATAACAAGATTAATGCAAGATACATAATCTGACTTCTGGTAGTATGTAACAGAAACTTAGTTTAAAAATCTCCGTAGTTCATTCCTCTTTTCTGCAGCCTCTTATGATTATATGTAAAATTAGGATTGCACATTGGGAAATGAATTGTTCCATACAGGCATAAGTCAAGATTTTACAATGAGTAGTAAAGAGAATATGGCCTAAGTTAAGGAAATGTTGGATTGGATAAATCCTTTTTAGTGTTCATAATTTTAGGGGATAGCGTGAGGGAATTATATCAAGCTCCACTAAATTAGTAATAATTTGGGGAAAGGAATCCAAACTTACATAATTGTCACATTCCCCAGTGTCGAATCTTATTGCCACACAATGGATTTCACGTGTCAATTTGTCATTTGTACTTTGTAGTGTACTTTCATGTCTGATTTCTTGGAACAACTCATCTGACCATGTAAATCTGCAAATTCTTTTCCCTTCCTTACATTATGTCAAACATGTCTACAGGTATTGTTACTGATGCGGAACCTAACTTTGAACCTGTCTAGCCCTGATTTTGAGCCAATAGTAAGTACTCCGTACTAAACTTCTTTGACCACATGCGAAGAGGTTCCACTTTGACATCTACAGAACTTGATTTTGTTGTACTAAACCATTGTGATGCCAAATTTATTTATTTATTTTTTTTTTTTCTGACATCAAATTTATTAGGATTTATATGTTTTTTTTTGTTTTCACTTTAATCTTGAATCCTTGAATTGCATTAACCAGCAGATGGGTGGTAATATATGGCCATAAAGGTGTTGAATTTATATACAATTTGTATAGAAATTAGTAATGAAAGTCTCTTGTGAATTTTTGTTGTTGATTCTTCTGTTGAACTGAATTTTACGATTCTTTTTCTTTCGGGGAAATGAATTTGATCATTCTTACTTGGGAATGGGGATTGATAGGTTTTCGTAATCTATGCTTCTGGTTGAGCTCAAAACTCTGAAGTATGATATTAACTCGATGAATTCCTGGTTGCAGAGGAATGTCCTATCCTCCTATGATGTCACCACCAAAACTGTATCACTTGATGCTGGTAATGTTGCCAAAAACCAGCCAACTGATGTGTCTTGTTAAGCTCGAAAGTATTTCTGATGTATGTTAGAACGTAATACCATGATATGCTTCATTTTGCTGTTCATATTGTATTTTAGATTTTTACTTCATGTTTTGCTACTAGCAAAGCTCGTTTATGGGCTGCCTTGTTGAAAACTACACTACTCAGAGCTTTGACCTACCTCAAGTACTTGTGTTGGCATAGGGACTTGTAAATTGATCAAGTCTAAGCTAACCTTCAGACTCCTTTATTGTGCCCGACATAGGTAGCTGAATTTGAGAAACATAGGGGAAAGTAGATTGCTTTCAATCTCTACATATCTTGAGCATGAAAATGGAAGCTGCTTGGAATACAGTTGTACAATAAATGAAGCCCAAAGATCTCGATTTCTCGAAAGAAGTCGAATTCCATTCAGCTGGTTCCGAATCAATAAGGTTGTTTTTGGTTACAGCTCAGTGGTAGTTCATCCCATTAGGAAGCTTATAACCTATGTATATTCTAAAAGTCTGATAGAGTATAGTTATTTTTTTCATTAATATTATTCTTTTTTTTTTCTTATATATATATATAAGTTTATATATAAGTTTTCTTTTGTGGATTCGAAGGACCTTGGAGGATGGGGAGTACATTGTATTTGGATGTATTGCTTAGAAATCTAGGATGAATCACATACGCAATTTTGAAAATCCCAATATAATTATTTACTTTAGTGAATTAGTTACAATGTGCTACCCTAATGATACATTAATAGTTTAATGTTGTTGCTTGTTCTAAATATTAATCTGTTTCCGGCTATTTAGTTCACCAAAAAAATTTTTTGATTTGATTTCTAGATTTGGCTAAACCTTACTCGTATTTATACACTGATATTTAAACAAAAAAATTATCAAATGAAATGTCATTAGATTTGTATTAATCTCTGTCCAAATAAGAAAAGTTGCACACGTTAAATGTGAAGCACAAGGCTAGTAAAAGGTATACCATATATAGTTTTTGCATGTACAAGAAGCGTAGAAGAGCAGTCCTAATTATCTGAAGGAAATCATCAAACCCCATATTTGTACATGTTAGCTGGACATGAAAGTTGTACTCCCATTCCCCGGCAAATATTTAGTGTTAGGGTGGTTGAGAGGGTAAAGCTTAGCCCCCGTAAGTGTAATCGGATTTTCTCCGTTGTAATTTTTTTTTGATATTTTCATATATTTACAAAATTTAAAATATTTTGCATGAATAACATAAATACAAAGATTAGAGAGAAAAATATGATGCTAGTTGTGAGGGAGGAGAAAGTGGAACTTTCTATAAAGAGAGGAGATAGAAAAATGCACGTAAAATTATTTTATCTCATAAAATTGCCTAAAATAAAACCATGTCAACTAAAATAAACTTTCTCCTATCTCCGCTTTAATTTATTTGCAACGTTTTTCTTAATTGAATACTACTGTTATAAAGTTTCATATGTGGCTGGTCACACTGTGTGGTCGGGGTTACTTCATCAGGGGTTACTTTGTTAAGTGTTACTCGATTGGTCAGGGGTTACTTGATCAGTTGAGGGTTACTCAGTCGGTTAGGGGTTATTTGTGTGTTAACATGGTAAGCCACACAGGAAACACGCTTGCAACAATTGTTTTTTTCCTTTTCATTTCATTCTCTCTCTCATTTTCTCTCCTCGTCAAATACAACTTTATTTTTTTCACTTCATTTACCACTCAAACAAATTTTTTCTCTCATTTACCACTCACAAACAAATTTTACTTAGATATTGTTGCATGTCACACCGTTACAGATCAAATAAAACGAAACCTAGGTGGTACTAAAAAGAAATAAATGTCAAATAATTCGATACCCAGAAAGTACGTAAATTCAGAGGTTTTGGTTTCCATTCAACCTCTCCCTTTCTAAAACTCTTTCCCTTTGTTAAACCAAACAGCCCTTTATCGTAGATCACAATAATTAATGGTCAAACATATCATAATTTGATCAAAGCAAAACCTAAACCCAAGCATGCGCTGACCAAGATACTAGTTACATACGTAAGCATATCCAACTGCTCATTTTAAACCTACACCTCTGCTACGTGGGTCAGGCTTGAAGTTCGAGGAGTTTAGGCTAAAGACCTTACCAGGCCCCCTTCACTCTTTATGGCATCTTACACCTCCCGTAAAAGCTCAGATCACACAGTTTTTCTAGCTATGAATAAATTCAGTCAATCACAATAGTACACAAACTCTATAAAAAAAAAAATTTAGCTGGAATACCGTGTTCATTACACTCTGCTACCTCTGCCGAAGACAATACAGAGCCTCCATTCACCTCAAGTTCAAGCAAGGTCTCATACAAGTTTACAAATTAAACACATGATGTTAATTTATTCACAAACTGACAGGCAACAATCACTTAATACATATTGGCTGAAAAAAAAAAAAAACAAACAAACAAACTAATGCTGAAGATTAATCATTGAAATAAAGCTACAACATATAGCAAGCATTCATATGCAAATGGTAAGTTACAAAAAGCCAAAAGACCCAATAAGTGATTAATGTCCAAACTCGAAAATAACCCAGGCATAAAAAAAAACACTAGATTGAATTATTAGTAATCTTGGAGACTCAAAATCACAACATATATTCCCAATACTAATGGCCCGATTCAACAACCACTAAATGCAGCCTATAGGTATATAAATACCCCCAAAAGGGAGGTACAGACCTAAATCAGGGGTGTCTGGGTGTTTACAGTGTGTTTTGGACAAGTGGATTTGAAGAGAAAGAATGGGAAGGAAAGTAAGGGATCCATTTTCCTAATTGAATAAATATTGGGGGAATAGAACCCAAGGAAATGAGAAGGATCCAATTTCTTCAGAAGTTGGAAAGATTGGAGGGAAAACACATGCCCTCTTTTCCCTCCTTCAACCTCCACCATTGCTATCCAAATACACTATAAACTAGTGCGGACAGCATGAAGTTTTAATTGTTTACGCACTGGGACCAGGCTCCTTTATTTGTATAGATGTTCTCGACAAACTAGCTTCCAGCTCTTCCAACTCATCCATATCCAGGTCATCGTCAATGTCACCCAGACCATCGTCGTCGTCCTCATCATTCACTGCACCTGAACTGCTAGGAGCAGCAGTATCACCATGAGCAGAATTGACGTGGTCCTCTTTACCAGATTTCTCATTTACCTGAAATCCAAGTGAAAGTAAATATTTTACTACGATTCACCTTCACAACACTTGTTTGTTTCAACTACCAACATAAAAAATGAATTCTTCATATTCCCCACAACTGCATCACCAATCATTACATGCTAGCAATTATTCATAATCCAAACCAGGTTACAAAAACAAAAACAAAAGAAAAGAAAATGACAAGCATGCAATCCCATGGAGATAAACAGAATTTCAACAGCCAATATACTAACATTCCCTTCCCAAAATAGATAAAAAGAAACAGTTAACAACAGTGATAGAAATGTGGATATTGCAAAATGCTGTTAATTAGATGAATATGATTAAACATGACTTTCATCTCCATAAGAGGAAGATAGAGAAGGCTAATTGCAAATATGAACATAAGAACCAATCACAATATACAAGGACTAGTGATACAAGAAAATATACTAGAGGAAAAAAAAAAAAAAAAAAAAAAAAAAAAAAAAAAAAAAAAAAAAAAAAAAAAAAAAAAAAAACGGCAGATGTTCAATCGGAGTGCAAAGCATAAACAATCCCATGTAAATCCAAGCAGCAAGCATCGCAAACCCACATCTTTCTCAAAGCCATTTAAGTATTGATTTATTTTTCATCATGTACAGCTTGGTGGGCATATGATCAACAAGTATTCATGATATCTTACATGCAAAAGGATGATAACAGTATCTCCCACCCAAAAAAGGAAAAAAAAAAAAAAAAAAAAAAAAAAAAAACCTTAGGCTATTCAAAGATTATCCCAAATTACTGGGATGAAAAATTAGGTCAAGGACATCATTTCATAAAGAAATGGAAAATAAGACCTACCTCTGTTTCATTATTTTCAGATTCTTCCCTTTCATATTGATCCCATGCTCCAACATCATCAACAAATAAGCTAGCATTTGACAAAAATAATTCTCGTCCACTGAAAAGAAGGAAAATCACATTAGATATACATACTATCTATGAGAGAAAAGTAGATGACCAAGGATAAAATGATACCTCATTCTATCATTCTTGGCTCTCTCTGCACTCTGAGAAGCCATGCTAGCAGCTTTTTCATCTATCTTTTTCTGCTTCCATTGTTGAAACAACTCTGTAGTCATGGGCGTGGTAGACTTCACTTTTGCTCGCTACAATTATTTAAAGGAAAGGTTAGCATATTCATTCACTATAGAGAAGCCAATTCATTTCACGCAACTTCTAAGCCACATAGATGCCAATGAACTGCAACAAGTATTATCACCTGCTCCTCAATCTCTTCTTCAATAGGCATCTTATCAGCCTCTTCCTCTAGCAGAGCCTTCATCTGAGACTTTAGTACATAACCAGGTGGAAGAGCATGCCTATAATGACAATTTTTACCACCATTTGGACATACCCAGAACCAACCATATTGTTTTTTCTCCACAGCATCCAAAAAATGTTTACATACCTGTATAGATCCTCAAATAGTTAAATAATAAACATATTTAAATAAACCATTAAAAAAACAAAAAAAACAAAAACAAAAAAGCGCACTAGGAAAAATATCATCGCCATAACAGACTGAGACAAATAAAGTCGACGTTAGAGGGAAGCACAACCGAAGAACAAAAGGGCCACCGTATGCCCAAATTGCCACATTAAATTCATCAACATAAACAATTGCCCTAAAGAAACTCCCATCAATAACGCAGATCAGAACCAGTCCAGTGAGCTGGGATCAAACACGGCTCAAACTACCTCAGTCACAAAATACATGCAATTCAGAACTTCTGAGACGGTGGGATAGACATAACAAGGAACAAAGAATTTTTTTCCTTAGATTCGACTTTTATAAAATGAGTAAAAAAAATTAAAAAGCATCCACATAACTTTAGTAATGCTTTGAGAATATTTAGAATTCATGGCCCTTCACTCATGTCTTCTTTAACAAAACTGAACTCCTTCTAAGTGAGAGTAATGTAGTTGATTACAATAACCAAAAATAGAAATTGTTTTATTTTGGGGGGGTGGGGGTGGGGGTGGGGGAAGGGGGTTTGGTTCACTGAATTATATCTATGCTACTGGGTTAGATGTTTTATACAGAAAATAAAAATTAAGTTTAAGCTATGCTACAGACTTGGATTTGGGTGTTGTGTTCAACACGGTCTCGGAACCTTCTACACTCAAATTTCATAAAATTTCTTTAAGGCCGCTATATATTTGGGTGTGATACCGCGTCGAAGTGTCAGAGTATCCAACCGACACTCAGCGTCGGAGTAACATAGAGTTTAAAAGTAATTTAATAGCTAGAAGACATTAGATAATTCCTCCGCTCTTTATTTATAGCAACATTTGACTTTCATGCTAATTAATGCATAACTTTGACCTTCAATATCAAGATTAACCTGACATTAACAGCATGATTAGATCACATTAGATGGTCAAACATTATAAATATCACTACACCATATAGTATAATCACAAGTAACATAGTAGTCTTCTTAGGGAGTATAGTGTTAAACTGTTAATTACTCCCCCCATCCCAAAATACAAGTCATTTTAGGAATTCCCATTTTATCTAACATACTGTTGTTCTACAACACCAAAACAATATAAATTGTCATTTGCTGATATAAAAATATTAGTATAGGTTGTTTACATTAGCAATATAGTATTTTATGCCACTTTACAATACCATCGCAGTTTTAAATTAACTTTCCAAATACATCTGAAAATTGGTATATTACTTATGTTGGATAAAAAAGAAATCAAATAGATTTAGAATTTCTTCTGCAACGTTCAGCTATGCCTTCAGCTATAGCTGTTACAATTCACTCATCTGTGAGGCGCCACAGAAAAAAGGGGAATCTGCTCCAGAATGGCATTTTTACACAACTAATAATTATGTAGTCAGCTCATATCAGTTACTGATTCATAAAAAGGATATGGAGGACAATATGGTAAACTTATGTGAAATTGTGAATTGCAATCACTCGTCTAGTTCAATGAATCAAAGGAGTACTAAATCTCCAAATACAGGCATACAGCCTATGGCCCTATCAGAAATGTGAGTGAAAAGATTTGGAACGGAGGCAGTTCAGTAAATAGGCTTCAAACAATCACTAATAAAGGCGTGAAATAGGACTTTCTTCATTTTCCAAAAAAAAGCTGAATCTTATACGTCCTACATAAGTAATATTACTTTTGATATTGCAAGTCTCAGAGACATTTGCAACTACGAAAATTTTTTGAAAACAAGACAACAAAATTACTAGTTTGAAGACCACATACAACATAAAGTAACTACAGCTTTATATCACCGTAGCTTCAAAAATTGTAACCAAAATTTATTTTTTATTTAATTGATCAAAATAAACAGTTTTTGTTCAAACTGCAGACCAAAAACTTGTACACTTCATCTTTCTCCAACGCTGCATACCAGCTAAGTTATGTGTATTACTTCCTATGTTCCCTTTCAATCAAACCATTGGCAATTTTACACTATTCACACCTAGTCATTTGACCATCTTTTGTGAAAAAAAAAAAGGAAAAATATAGTCATGTACCCATGTGGGATCTTGTTAAATTTGTCTCAATAAAAACTTTTGAACAACTTTATATTATTTTTAAAAAAAGATAAACAATGTTTTTACAGCATAAGATGTGCATTGGCAGACATGAAACTCCAATGAAAAAGAACAAAGGAAGTATTTACTTGAATCTAAATTATGTTTGCCATGAGAATTCTTAATAATCTAAGTTAAAAGGTAAACATGACAAAACCTACAGAATCTCTTCAGCATTAGCCCAAAGCTCTCCCTGCTTTCCTAACAAAGTCAAAAACTTTGTTCTTTAGACATCTAAACATATCATCTTCCTCTCTAGACCAAAAAAAAAAAAGGCTTGAACAAACAGAATCAACTATATTCAAATAATATCCGATTCAAGGTTACAAGGTACGCAGTTCGATTCAAAACGTAGTACGGAAACAGATACGAGGCACGCTACCCATGATGAATCCGGTACGATTGGGTACGAAATAAATAAATTAATAAAATATATGGGTGATTTTTATTATAAGATTTTGATTTGGAAAATAATATAAAACGTAGTTGTATCAGTCCTAGCTTGAATTTATGTGGGTTGGTGGATTGCTTTAGAAAATATACTTGTATAATAAAAAGCCCAAAGATTTAAGCCTGTTTGGAATAGAAATCTAACCGCCACCCTATGTAGTACAAATAAATAAATAATAAATAAAAATAAAAATATCATTTTAGACTTAAATCTTACTAGTACTACTGTGTAAAACAGAAGAGAGGAGAGAGAAAAAACTACTCCTAAGATATAAAATCAGAAGAGAGAGAAAATGCATTGGAAATATCGGGAAGAAACCATTGAACGTTGCATAGGAAGATAACCGCTTAGCTGCTACCAGAGTCGCCTCCTTCAGCGATCCAGATCGTGAACCCCAGCGACTCAAGTCGCGTTTGTTCCGCGTTCCAATACGCGCGACTCAGTTCGCAATTCCTGGCTACGTACCGCGAACCTTGTAACGCTGATCCGATTAACATTGGGGAGAATATTTTAGGGTAATTCACCCACCATCATAGTATCCAACACATAATCTATAACAATTGCTTGATCCTCAAGTAGAAAAAGGAATAAAAAAAATTCACCTTTTTTTTAACAGCTGAAACACTGATACAACACAGCCACCACTCATTTCCTCAATGAACATTTTGAAAGCACACTCTACAAACGTTTTGAAAGCACTTTAATTCATTTAGATAAAGCTAATACTTCAAAGAGTTCTAACTAGCAGCCAGCCATCTGTAATTATTTTTTTTAGCATGGATATGAGTTAGCACTAAGACATTATACCTACTGAAACAATATCATCTTGCAAATAAGAAAATCATTTGCCCATTCTTTGGACTTTATAATTGTTTAAAAGAAAAGTTGGAAGGTGTTTTTGGAAGCGTAATCTAAATCAATTGTTGATAGATTATACTAAATTAAAATTCATCAAGTTAACAATATATATGCTGAATAGTCAAGAAGTTTGGCAAGGATCGAAAACATATGTAAGACAACTCTAAGCAGAAGAAGTATCAATCAAATGCTCTCATACATCATAATAAAGTGCAATTTCAGTACTTCAACAATTTGTGATAGGTGACATCTAAGTCAAAAGTCTAAGAGAGAATAATATAGTATAGCATTACTCAACTCACATTTCAAGTAGAAAATTCACAGCTTCATAAACAATGGGAACCTCACAATGCAAGACATTAACTACTCATGCCAAATGACACTTTACAATTACAAGACTAACTTGACAAATAAAAAAATTTATCACAACTTGAACAGGGGATGAGGGGCGTAGACCAAAGATTACATTTAAACATCTAAATAACAATGAAAAAAGACTTACAATATCAGTTGGTTTGTTCTGATTGTACTCCTTGCTCTTCTCTGCCACAGCTTTTTCCAAGGTTTCTAGATCCCATTCCTCCATTGTTCCTTGAAAGAAAAAAGAAAAAAGCACACGATAAGCCAATCAGCAAACAAACAAGGCAGAGACAATAATACATGCAGTTTAAAACATATTTTAAACCGGAAACTAACATCAAATACAATTACTCACCATCATCACGCTTATCTGAGTAAACGTCAATCTTCTCTCCTTTCCTTTGCACATTTAGATCATGTGAAAATTTGCATTTAAAACCCTTTGTACACTGCCCTACCTTAAAAAATTCGCACAGTATAGACTTGGGATCAACACCTGATCATGCACAAAAGCTAACAAGGTAAATACTTTCACCAAAAAACACGACAAATACAATAAACACAGAATAAATTGGTAGATGGTTAAGAAATAAATAAATCCATCATCAATAAAAAAATGAGGCTATTACCAACTGGAACTTTGGGCTGGGTAACAGCAATCTTAAACAAATCATTCAACTCCTTTTCCCTTGCCTTCTCTTCTTCTTTCTTTTTCTGCAAATCAGACAACGAACATTATTATTGACTATATGCCTATACGCGTGCAATTTTAATACCATGGCATACTCAGACTTGAATGCTCAGGAAATTTCATTGCCAATCTAAAATCGACAAAATGTAATCCCGAAATTCAAATACTGTTGCTACACACAAAAGTAAACCCCAGTGGTTTATGATTAGATTTCTCAATATGCAAAAGCCCCATCAACAAAGGTAAAAAAAAAAAACCCAGCAACAACAATGACAAAGAACCCAACTATTATACCGAAAATAATAAATAAATCAGATGTTATATCCTTACTACATGAAAGTAAATACAATTTAACAACTAATTCCGAAGAGAGTGTACCCAATATGAATCAGTTCAAAAATATTGTCATCATATATTCACTAATAAAAAAAAAATTAAAAATATAAGGAACATAAAAATTTGGCAAATAAAACAAAAAAAATCGATAACAATTATAAACTGCTGCATGAATTGGAAAAAAAAAATAAATAAATAAAAATTGAAAGACAGAGAACCTTAGCATCAGTCTTTTTAGGGTCAACTTTAGGTTGGACGGATTGTTTGAGGCTCTGAACATATTTCTGAACATTTTTGCTCTTACTCTTGTTCTTAAGACCAAAAGTCTTATCCTCAACTTGTTTCTGCTTCTTCGCTAGATCGGCCTTCGATTGCTGCTGTTTCGGCGGCATCTTCTAACGATTACGGCGTCGGAGATGGGGTTTTGGTGGTTCTCCGGTGAAGAAACTCGCCGGAGTTTTGTGAATTTTGGTCGATTAGTTTTTTGTGAGAGTTTCTGGGGAGGAGGCCGAGGAAGGGTGAAAGATGGGGGTGGAACTTGGAAGAGTCCGACTGTAAGGAAAAAGAGGTTTCCAGAAGCAACAACCAAATTTTTATTTGTGGAATTGGGCCGAGAGGTAGTTTCATATAAGGACTGTGGAGGGATGACATAAGTTAACAAACGAGAGGGGGCGTGCAATATCCAATCCAAACTATTCGTGGTATATTCAATACTTGGTTAGAACCCGTGCGATGTATAGTTTATATAAAATCTGTTTCGAAGTTTTCTGTGTCCCTTGGTAGAGTTACAACACCAAGACTGGATTCTGGACGCCTGTACCTGCAAAACAATGGAAACTTCGGTTGGGTGGAGTTCCGCCTCCGATGATCAAGTTAAAACGTGTATCGAGTCTGTAAAAAGTGCGGAAAGTAGAGTATCTTCTCGGATTCCAAGAAAATATCTGCAATTAATGATTGCTCTGTTTTCGTATATATTTTTTAATGTGTTCCCAGGTGAGAACATCTCCCTATTTATAGGGTCTCGAAATGCGTGCCACCATCCTAGGTTACAGAAACCTGGGAATGGTGGGCTATCTCAGGAATTGGGCCAGGAAGGCCGTCTTTTTCCCAATGATTGGGCGTGCCACATGTCAAGAGAGGATTGGTTCCTTTGAACCTCTCTTAAGGTGACACGTGTCACCATTTGATTGGTCCATGTGGCCTAGGGTATTTTTACCCAAAACATTTGCCCCTCACAGTTGTGACGTGACGTGCCACGTGGCATCTGTGACACTTGTCACTCGATTATTGGCGAACGGTTTTAACCGTTTGTCTTCCAAGGAAATTACGAGGATGCCCCTTGAATTACCCTTCCTTAAATAGCTTTTTACCCTTCCCATTTTTGGACATTTCCAAAAACTTAGAGAGAAAGTCAGCCGTTTTTTAGAGAGATAGAGTCTGACAACCGCCTGCATACATCCAAACAAATTGCCTTCTTTTTTCCACCATATACAAACGGTGAAACGTCTGTGTTTTATCAGACAGGAAAGTTTGAGAACCGTCTGTACTACTTGCAAGCAATTCTTCCTTTTCAAGGGGGTACATCCGGCCATCCATCTGTGCCTTTTGCAAGCAATTCTGATTTCTGTTTGCTAGATCAGCCGGCCAACGCCTGACTATATTTCAACACACCTTAGAGGTATCGTCTCCCCTCTTCTCAATTCTTTCATATATTTTCGTTTGTGTACATATTTTCCAATAAATGGATTCACCAACAACACACATGACACACCAGAGGGCAGTCGATCCCCTGGTACGGCTGAGTCTAGGACTGGGGGTCACTCCATATGAGTCTAGGATTGGTATTGAGATTACTCTTGCTCATCTCTCAATCCGACCGTCTCCGTGTCTGTGTAGGACACTATGGCTGGGACTAGATGGACGGCTGTAGATCCGGAGTATAGGGAGGAGAACTCGGAAGCAGTACCGCCTGAGGAGGAACAGGTAGAGATGGCAAGGGGATCTCCTAGGGGTACTCCCAGCACTCCCAATAATGGAATCCTGGGATCCGATAACGGAGACGGTGAAGAAACCGTCTCTAAAGCTGGTTTTGAGGAGGCGAGTGAAACTCCCCCGGTTGAGAGAGACGGTAGTGAGACCGCCTCTACTTCTGAAGAAAGCAGCTGTTTAGGGTAAAAATACCCTTGACACGTGGACCAATGCCACTACGACACGTGTCCCTAAGCTCAGCGCTCAATGAGCCAATTAGAGCATGACACGTGTCATTCTAAGGGGAAAAACGGGCTTTAAGCCCATAACCCTAAAAACCATAAAATGGTGGGTAGCCCATCTACTTAGGTTAAATAACCAAAAAGGGCACCTATCCCAAAAGACTATAAATACTGATCATTTACATTAGTTGGGGATAGTTCAATACACATTGAATAACATACACACATTCAACTCAAAAACAGAGAGTGAAACACTCGGATATTGAGGCTGTCTTAGACAGTCGGATGATCACTCCTCTCCTAAGAGGAGCCTAATCCCCCTTTACATTCCGCACTTTTTACATCCGAACACGTTCTCACTTGATCGTCGGAGGCGGAACTCCCACCCCCGAGAGTCTCCGTTGTTTTGCGGGTACAGGCGCGTGGATCCAGTCTTGGTGTTGTAACTCTCCCGTAGGACATCCAAAAAACCCGGAAACATATGGCGCCGTCTGTGGGGAGAGTACTACTAAGATGGCTTTAGAGCAATCTGTACCGCTTGCTAACAAGAAACAGCCTATGATCAAAGTCAAGGACCGAGTGTCCCCTTCCTATCCTAAATGTCTGAGTTGGCTTCAACGTAGACCTACCCAGACAGCTTTCAGAATACCTTAATGAGGTATTCACAATTAAACAAAGAGAGTCAGTCAGACGGCTTGTCCGTTCACACTGACCCTCAGATAGTCCATTCGGCTTCGTATGCGCCTCAGCAAGCCATACATGCCGTATGGACAACCATGCATGCAACCGGCCCTTTTCAGGGGTCAGGCGGCAAAAACGTCCATTAGGACTGGCAGCTCCGTCTGCTAAAATTGGAGGAACAACCTTATGTGCTCTCCAAGGGGATAACCTTCTGCGGATGGTATTATCTTATCACCCAGGTGCGAAGGAGTAAGACGACCAAGTACTACAGGCATCGTGAGGCCAACTGTCAAGCACTGCAGGCGTCATGAGGCCAAATTTCTAGTACTATAGGTTTCATGGGTGTTTAAGCCCACAAATTATCATTATTGTGACTAGCAGATGCTAGCCGCACGACACTTTAACTAACTAGAGAGAGCAAAGTTTCATGAGAGCAACAACTCTTGTTGAAAGCACTCCCTCAAAGAATTATTCTAGCATCCGGTATTCAGCTTAGTCGAATGGCTTGGAATGCCGAGCAAGAAGAGATTCCATGCATACAAAATGCTATTATGTAATATGCCGAATGCATTCTAGCATCCGCCTGTATATAGCAGGTCTTTCAAAAGCAATCAATAAGTCCCTCAACTCCGCAAATGCAAGCGGCAAATATGCCGACTCACATTACGGAGGCCAGGTGGCAAGTGGCATTATTAGGCTGCTTGATACCCATAGACGTCCAAGCGCTCCCTTATAAGCATAACATACAACCGGTCAAATAGCTTGTTTGAATAAGAAGAGGCAACCGACATTATCACGAGTGCGTGACTTTTAAGCTGTTGTGGGGCAAGCTATACAAGCGGGGTGGCATACAAAAGGTAACCCAGCCAAGCAATGAAACAAGGGACACCGGACCAGCAGCCAAAGTGTGAGAATAACACACAAGCGACACTATGCTTGGTCGGCTGTGCTACTTATGTAGAAGGCCGGCTGTGCAATTTGCGTGGTGATCCGGTTGTCATGACTTTAAGGCACCAAGAGCATATAAGTGAGAAGTCAACCGGCACTAACCCAAAGTGAGCATGCTATTAAGCTCAATGGGACAGGCGGTACTATCCCAAGGTGGGCATGCTATTGACTTCAACGAGGTCAGCCGGCATTAGCCGACACCATCCGAGCTTGAGCTATTTAAAGCATCCGGCCAGGGCCCTATGCCGGCTGTACATAGGAAAAGCAACCACAAAGGGTCCGGATGTCCAAGGCTATCAAGCAAATCCTCATGGACGCTTGAGCTTGAATAGCTGGCACCTACTTTGGTCCTCGCCATTAAGTTGGCAGGCGGCAGCTCAACACATCCCACACTTGGTTGCAACAACCGATAAAGGCGCATGAACATTCGGCTACTCAAATGTCGAACCTTGAATGCAAGAGCTGAATGGCTTGTTGCTTCGAACACATACAAGCGACATTATAGAAGGAGCCTCCTGATTGAGTTTAACGATTCGCATGTATGTATTACACCATTGAAGACGGATATGGGTGTATGTATCTCAACGCCATGCTCAGCTAGCAACAAGGCATCCGGCTAGAAATGCAAGTGAAGAAAACCGGATGACCATGGAGATAGTAAAGGCGAGTAGCAAACCAACACCCACAAACCTAAGCTATTCTGCTTGAGCATAAGGGAAATGGCAACCGTATGTAAAAATAGCCATCAAACCCCCCTAAACACAATCAAGGGAAGCTTTTGTGAGGAACAAGGTATACAGGCGGCATGAGCTTTTGCGTCTCATTATTCGAGCTTAACCGGCAACCATGGAGTCGTGCCGTCTCCAATGTAGCAAGTTTTGTATGGTCCTCATCAATATCATGCCATGGAAGAGCTCAAACCCGGCTGCGTACAAGAGGCTCTCATGCGTGAGCAGGGTTTACCTGGTATCCTTGGGTGTCTATTGTAAGCATGGGGCGCAAGTGAACTTGATTGAAAGCAAGCAGCCGGTCAAATACCTTGGCTGAAGCAATGGTCTTATCCGGCACTATCCTTGCCGAGAGTATACTAGCAAGGTGCGCTTGTGTAAATGTTTGCGTTATGAGTTGCATGTAACAGGCCGATTACGCATGGAAGAGGCGGCCATTGAAGCCGACTGTGGGTGCGTACTTACAACGCCATGGTCAGCTAAAACCAAGCTTTCGACAAGCTCTAACCACACATCCGACATGATTAATCCGGTTGTGTGTATATGGGTTAGGCAGCATGCAACTAGCATTATCGTCCATAAGTGTCGCGATTTTTTAAACTCTTATTATCAAAGGGGTCAGCCGGCATTTAAGTGGCCAGATGTTCATGACGGTATCACTGAAGCCAGCTGTGATTTTGAAGCTAAACATTTGAGCAGCCGACCTTATCATGTGGCGACCTTCCTGTGTACGCACAAGCGTGAAGCGATCCCAGATTATCATGAAAGGAGGGCAAGCAATCTCACGTTAGAGAGAAGCCGGGAAACAATTAAGGGGTTGGTCGAGTGTATGGCTGGGTAGCCTTACTGAATTGGGTCGAAGTCTACCGCATGAATATGGGTGGATGCTTTGCCAAACGAAGAGTTCGAGGTCGAACTTGAAAGCAAGTGGCATGATTAAAATTCGCCTACTATAGCTCGGGTAGCATGAGCATTGTTCAAGTCCTCAATTATCATTATTATGATTGAAAAAAAAAACGAAAAAAGAAAAAAGAAAAAAGGAGGCATATCA